TAGACTGAAGAACAAAAAGACAGCAACTTGTCTGTTCCCCTTCCCCCAATTCCCCAGCACTGTTCCCATCCCCCCAATTCCCCAATAAAAATCTTCGAAAACAAACAAAAAAAACTCTTATTATGGTAAAATATACATAACTTACACCATTTTACTCATTTTAAGTGTACAGTTCTGTGACATTAAGTACATTCATCACATTGCTGTGTAACCATGCCCACCATCCATCTCTAGAACTTTCTCATCTCCCCAAACTGACACTCTGTCCCCATTAAACACTCACTCCCTTCCCCTCCCCCAGCCCCTGGCACCACCATCTACTTCTTGTCTCTATGTATTTGACTCCACTAGGGACCTTTTATAAGTGGATTCATACAGTATTTGTCCTTTTGTGACTGGCTTGTTTAAATCTATCTTTTTTGAAGTAAGGTTATAACTACCCAAGAAACATATAAATAATTCCTCCCATTAAAAGAAAGAGAGAGAACACAGATCAGAAAACCTTGTCCCTTTTGCTAGCCCCACTCCATCCTGGTCCCTCTAATAACCACTGGAGTGTTCAGATCTTTTTCTGTTTCATTTCATGATGATTTTGTGTGGTGTGTGTGTGTGTGTGTGTGTGTGTGTGTGTGTGTGTGTGTGTGCGCGTGCGCGCGCCTGTGTGTGTGATGTTTCCTCTCTCTCTCTCTCTCTTACCATACATGACTAAACACTAAACATCACTTGCTATTTTTATTCACCAGTAGGACCTAGAAGCCTAGCTGGGCTACACTGGCAGGGTTGTGGCTGAGGGGTGTGGAACATGTGTGGTTTGTGATATCCAGCTCTATGACTCTTACAGCTCCATGCTCACCAACTGTGACTGTGGGTAAATTAACCTATCTGTGTCACTTTCCCCAACTGGAAAATTGTTATAAAGATTTAATATAAAGCACTTAATTCCTCCCCTAATGCTGAATAAGCTCCCTATAAACATTAATTCTTGTTATATAACCTGCAGAGCCATTTCCTTCTTTCTTAAATTATTTAAATGTTTTCCATTTTTCAAATGTAGCATATATTAAGAAAGTCAAGTAACTCACAAACTGAACCCACCCATGTAACCACAATACTGTTTCCAGGCCTCCCGGAAGTCACCCCATGGCCCTGCCAGTCACACCTCCTGCAAAGGCAACTGCTGATCATGTTTTGGTTATCATAGATTGATTAGTTATTCCAGTTCTAGAATTTCATACAAAGGTGTCTGGCCTTTTTCACTTGGCATGCTGTTGCTCTTACCAATAGTTCGTTCCTTATTATTGCTGAGGAATACTCCATGGATGTTGGTTAAACCACTCACTCATTGATGGACATTTGGGTTGCTTTCAATTTTTGGCCAATATGAATAAAGCTGCTATGAACATATGTCTACATGTCTTTGTGGGTTTTTCTTTTCTTTCTTTTTCTTAAGTAGCTTTGTTTTTCTTGGGTAAATACCTAGGAGTACAATGGCTGGGTCATATGATTGTTGCCCATTTGACTTTATAAGACACTGCCAGACCTTTTTCCAAGTGGTTGTGTCATCTTACATTCCCACCAGCAGTGGAGGAGAGTCCCATTTGCCCTAGATCCTCGACAACACTTGGTAATGTCTTTCTTTTTAGTTTTAGCTATTCTGGTGGGTATGTAGTGGTATTTCACTGATTTTTTTTTGAATGACTTTATTTAGAAACTATGCGCCTCTTTGTTTTGATCAAAAGTCACATAGCCTTGGGTCAGCCGAGTGGCTCAGTTGGTTAAGAGTTGGCTTAAGAGCGCGAACTCTGAACAACAGGGCTGCCGGTTCGATTCCCACATGGGCCAGTGATGCTGCGCCCGAGCTGAGCTCTCGCTGAGCTGCCAATGGGTGGCAGGATGGCTCAGCTGGTGTAACAACAAGATTGCCTGTTCGATGGTGGGCTACACCCACCCACAACTAAGATTGAACACAGCACCTTGAGCTTAGAGGCCACGAGCTGCCAACAGGCAGCCAGATAGCGATGGTGCCCTCCACAATGAAGAATGAAGAACAACAGCTTGGCTGGTCCCCTTCCCCAATTCCCCCCAAAAATCTTAAAAATAAAAAAGTCACATAGCCTTTCTTCAGCGTATTAAAAAAAATTCTACCTAAATTATAGTTGTCTTTTTTAAATAACAAATAAATATGTTGTCAGCTAGTAGAAACCTGGGGTACTGGGTGTTGTATACCAACTTTCATCATCATTTCTCTACAAATGCTGCCTCTGCCATCAGTGTCCTTTGCTCCCTCTTGCCGAAGCCATCAATTCTTCAATCTCAGCATTTAATTTATGTGTTACCCATTTCATTGTTTCTCAGCCCTTATCAACATTTGAAGATATCGTACTTGCTATCAGTCCTTTGAGATCACTGCTGAGAATGACTCCTTTCACAGTGATTATGGCTTCTTGAGTTGAAACAGTTTTTTCTGGGTCCTGAGGATGTGGTTTGTTTATAAGTCTCTTATATACTGAAACCATATTTGTAAATGAAATATTAGTGGATTTAAGTTCCTTGGTTTTCTCTACGGAATCAACAACAGAATGTTCTTGCACATATGTTTTGGTTCTTGCTGCGCAATAAGAGATTTCACAATGGAATGCTCCCCACTCTGTGTTGAGAGGTCTATGGCTGTGCAACTTTGCAGAAGGATCTATACATCAACTCCAACTACACTTGGGTTCATAAGGTTTGGGTATTCTGCGTTGTAAGTTTCCCATGGGTGGTCAAAGGCGTGCTCCCAAGTCCAAATCCTCATGGTGCCGGCAGACTGAGAGAGATCTAGGCAGCACTAAGAGGTAAAGAGCGGTATTCCATTGAGTTTTCATTTGCATTTCCCTGATGACTTCATTCTTTTTATCTGTTGCGTGGTATCCCCTCCTGTGACCCTACCATAATGCTGTATGCATTCCTCTGTTGGTGGACATGTATGTTTCCCCCGTTTTTTTACAGAAACTAGCAAAGCCGCAGGTAACACCCTTTGGCATGGACTTCCAAAGCACACATGCCTGCGATGGCAAAGAGGAATCGCACAGGATGGACACCATCTGGATTGTATTTACTCTTTCTGCCAGATAACATTCTGACCCACAGCATTCGCTCACCCGGCTTGATGTTAACCACACTCAAATTCTTGTCAATGTGATGAATGAAACATGGCATCATTTTGTCTGTTCACTGGCATACAATCAGCAAGCGTTCAATATTTATTGGACGAATGAATGGGTGGATGGATGAATGAATGACGACTGCTCCTTTTGCACCAAACACATCAAGAGGGTCTCGCCTGAGCCTATTTGGGAAACAAAGGTTGAGGCCTCAACCCTCCGCAGCCTGACCCCGCCCCGGGCCCCGCCCCCGCCCGCGTGGGGCTCCCATTGGAGAGGGCGCGCGGAGTAGGGCAGCAGGGCGGGGCCCGGCCCGGGGCGGGGCGCTGCAGCCCGCCGAGCCTCCCGCCCTCCCGGGCTGGGGTCGCGCTGGCTCGGACTCCCCTCCCCGCCTGCCTTGGCCATGGAGGACGAGCGGAAGGACGGAGCCTACGGTAAGAGCCGCCTCTGGCCCGCGGCCGCCTCTGCTGTTGGAGAGACCTTGGGGAAGGGGGACGTCTGCTATCTTAAACGCCCGCGTTGCAGCTGGGGCCCCTGTGCTTCCTTCCTGGGCCTGCATCCCTCTCTGCGCAGAGCCCATTCCCCGTTTTCCCTCCAGGTTGCTCTGTGTCCCCACCCTGGAGCCCCTGTTCTCCCTCCGGCTGATGGGCCGGGGCGCATGGCGCATGCTCCTCCCGGGTCCGTTATCTGGGAGGCTCAGATGCCAGGCGGGGGAGGGGATGCGCGGCGACCGGGGCTCTGAAAAGGAACAGGGCCCTAAACTCCTCCAACCCCTCTCCTCTTCCAGTCCTTTCTGTCCATTTCTTCTTCCTGCTCACATCTCCCTGGAAGTCGCTGTCCTGGGGTTTCGGCCCGTTGGGGAAACTGAGGCAAGCCTGGGCAGATTGAATGCAAGGGTGGGAACTCATCAGGTCTCCAGAGCGTCTCCGGTGAGGGGGCAGGTAGAAAGCCGAAAACAATTGGGAAACTTTCCTCACCCTATGCAAGCGGTTGGGGGTGCCCTTTGCCATTTTGCGGGATCCAGACGACTGGGACCCCCCTCCCGCGAACCTTTCAGGACGGCCTTCTCCTCGGGGCCCAGGAAATGAGGCCAAGATGAGGCCCCTCTCCACTCACACTCTACTGTGTGTCTTTTTCCCGGGTTCCCACGGCTGGGAGAGGGGTACGGCCCTCCGTTTCTCCTTTCTCTTCTCCATTTTGGGTCCCCAGGGATGCGCTGGGCACGAGCCCCACGAGACACTGCCCTGGGGCAAAGGGGCCCTGCGACCCCTTCTTGAGTGACAGGAACTTCCTGGAAACTGTGAGACTGTATGGCTTTGGGGAAGGCGCCGGAAACCACTCAAAAATAAAAACTTACTAGTGCTGTGCCTCCCTTCCTCCCCCAAAGGGAAATGTAGCCTCAGGAGGCTGCAGAGAGAGACAGTTGGAGGAGGCTGGGACCCTCCTCCCTGCTCAGAGGCAGGGGGACCTGGCCACTGCCCAGCCACTCCCCTCCTTGCTTGAAGCTACCAGTCTCCTGAGGGGCCCCCTTGTTCTTGGTCTTGGCTCAAGCCCCAGACCCTGTGGCTGCCTGTGCTGTGCGTCCCTTGGGTGTGGCCAGCTGTCTCTGATCTGGAAATTTCAGCCTGAGGTCCAGGCCAGGCCCTGCCTGCCTGTGGGCAGCACCTGAGGGATCTTTGGTCTCCATGAGGCTGGACTGGGGTGGGGATGGGGAACAGAGTGGACAATGATGTGATTCATTCAGCCTTGAATTTAGCTAAAGGGAGCCAGCCATGGATGGGCCTGAGCAAACACCAAGCCCTGCCAGGCTCACACCCGAGACAGGGGACCTCTATGCCCAGCAGACCTTGTGCTGGGTGCCGGGAGCACATTCTATCAACAAGTATTTATTGAGCATCTCACAGGTAGGGACTAGACACTGAGAACACAGCAGTGAACAAAGCAGAATCCTTGACCTCAGAGACAAAGGAATAAATATGTAATTTTAGGTTGTTGTAAGTGCTGTGAAACAAAACATGGGATACCGTGTATGTGGGGGAAATCATCTGGGATTATTTTAGGTGATCAAGGGCTGGAAGTTGAGCTGATGGCCGTGGGAAAATTTGAGAGAAGTGTGTTTCAGGCAGGGGGAACAGCTAAAAAACCATAATTGCTTAATCATTTCTATCTATAAGGCCCAGAGGAGCATCCAGTGAATGCTGTGGCTGGATTTTGCAGCCAGGCCCTCACCTCCTCCAGGGGAGGCAACGTGGCTTGACTCTTCAAAGTGGGTGAGGGTCTCACTTAGCTTATAAATAGTTCATTCTCATCAGAACCAAAAACCTGGGCCCCTTGGGCTGCCTCATGAAGACCCTACTAGATAATGAGGCCCTTTTCTTTAAGAAGAGTGTGTAAGAGTGACTCACATATCCTTCCCTTGTACCCCAGCCCTTCCGTGAATTTATGGGTGACATCAGACAGACATAGACTCAAACCCTGGCTCTAACACTTACTAGCAGTGTGGCCCTGAGCATGTTGGTGACCTCTCTGAAATTCTGTATCTTCATCCGTAGGGCTGGGCATGATGGGAAGCATTTTTCCCAGTTTCTGGCAAGCTCCAGGTGCTCAGGGGCCTCTGGTGCTGGTGATACTGGGGACATGGATTTTCTGTGAGCTGATAGAGAAGCAGTACTCTCTGTCAGAACACAGAATTGGGCTGGTCTAGGCAGGGCAGGAAGCTTCCTTCTCAGCTGACATCATGTTTACAGGAAGGCAGTGGCTCCAAGAAGAACGGGGTCAGCGATGGTCACTGCCATCCTTCCCAACCCACCCTTGGCATAGCAGCATGGAATAAGATTCTAGAACTTAAAACAATACACTGTGATGGGGGCGGGGGGAGGTTGGAAAAAAGTAATGGTACTTGTTAAAGAAAACAGATTCCATGGCCCAATTCACTGGAGTCCGACTCAGCCAACAATGGGGTCCAGGCATCTGATTTTAAAAATAAATAAATTGTTAGGAGAGGGTATTTACTTCTTAATTATAACTTTCAAATAAATAAATAATATGTAATACATTCACATGCTTCAAAATACAAAAGATTTTATTGCTTTATCATGAAAAGTCTCCTTGTTTCCTCTCCCAGCACCACACTCCCTTCTTGGAGTGCATCAGTATTACAACTTCTTGTGTTTTTTTCCAAACGGAGTCTAGGTCTTATACAGTCACATGGCAAGTATGTAGCTATTCTTTATTTCATGGCTGTTTGGTTGGTTTGTTTATTATTTATTTATTTAACAAAACTCAGTAAATCCCTGGTGTGCTAGCTTCAAGAGACAGAAATGCATGCCTTTTGGTTTGAAGGTGTATCGACAGTGCCTGGCACATAGTAGATGCTCAACAAATATTTGTTGCATAAAAGGTGTTTCACATGTTGTTGGGTTTTTTTTCCCCCCTTAATATATGTTAGAGATGATCTCTTATGTCAGTTTCTGGAATGCTTCCTCAATCATTTTTAACAGCTGCATCAAGTAGTGCATTTGTGGGTGGACCATCTTATATTTAACCAGTTGAGGGGAATATTTTAAACTTTTTATCAAAGCAAAAAATTCATACATAAAAGGCTCAGGTCCTAAATTTACAAGGATCCAGGAGTTTTCACACCCATGTAACTAGCACCCAGCTCAGGAGAAAAATATTACCTGCACCCCAGAAGTCCCTCATGCCCAAGGAGGGCCTATCAGTATTATCATTATTTTATTTTTTTGTGGTAAAAAAACATAACACAAAATTTACTGTCTTAACTGTCTTTACATGTATGATTCAGTAGTGTTAAACATATTCACATTGTTGGGCTGTGGCCTGTTTTTTGTAAAGCCAATCGACTAAGAATGGCTCTTATGTAAGAAAATGGTTCTTTTAAAAAAAAAGAATATAAATAGAGATAATAAGTAAACCACAAGCTTAAAATCTTTAATATTTGGCCCTCAACAACAAAAAAAATTTACAGATTTCTGGTAAGAGCCTTCCCATCACCCCAGAAAGTTCTCTTATGCCCTTGCCCCAGAAACCCTCAAAGGGAGGGTTATTTTTAAACATCATTTTTAAACTCTTATATAAACAAAATTAATATATTCTCCATGTGGGGGCTGAAAATTAAAAATAAGCCCTCAACTGCACACAGGAGTTTAGTCTCCCATCTGAAAGAACCCATTACAAATCCTTAGCCAGCTGTCCTCATCCCAGAGGTAACACAACCAAGAAGTCTCCAGAGCTTAGTCTACTAATTTGTGTGTGTGTGGCATTTGTATCCTTTTAAAGCTTCTCCCTGCCGGTTTAATGAAAAAAACGGTCCTGTTCCCAGAGTAAGATACTATGTTGCTTTGTAAAAAGATGAAGTAGGTCTAACCTCTCCAATGGAAAACAATGTCCCATTATGTTAGTCTGTGAAATAGCAAAGTGGGAACAGTATGTATGAAAAAACTGGGGGATAAATAGCTACAAATCTGTTTATGTATGTGAACTGTAGACAGTGTCTAGAAGGAGAAAAGGGAAATCAGTGAAAGGAACTGCCCCCAGGGAGAGGAAATAAGGGCTCCAGGCCAGGGGTGAGAGGGAGAGTGATTTCTCTTAGTCTGAAGTCTTGTTCTGGTATAAGGTTGTGTTTTTTGTTTGTTTGTTTTTTAAATCTTGATAAGCATATAGGTTGCTTAACAAGTTCATTTATAACTTCCTTCAGCAAACATTGTGCAGGCACCATGTACCAGGTTCTGTTCTAGATGCTGGAGACACAGCAGGCACTGCACTTGTGGAGCTGACATTCTAGAAAGCAAACCAGACAAGAAATTAAGATGAATGAGAAAAATTCTTGGAATGTCATAGAAGGGCTCTGGAGAACAGGAAAGAAGGGGTGGGAGTCATCTATAGGGCCTAGAGGTCGGATTTAAAATTTTAAATAGAGGGATCAGAGAAGGCCATCCTGAGGTGACAGAGGAGTGCAGGAGGGAGCAGTGTAGCATGTTTCAGGCAGAGGGTACTGTGTGCGCAAATGCCCTGGGGTGGGATCATGTTTGATGTGTTTGAGGAGCAGTGAGGAGGCCTGCATGGCTGGAGTGGAGGGGGCAAGGGGCAGAATGAGAGGAGGTGAGGGCAGGAAGGGGATGGGGACAGAGTGTACAGAGCCTTGTGGGCCATGGGAAGGACTTGGACTTTTATTCTGAGAATGATGGGAGCTATTGAGAGTTCTGAGCCAGAGGAGGGACCTGGCTGACTCAGGTGTTCACATGCACCCCCTGGCCTCTAGGGACTACAATGGCAGAAACCAGGAGGCCAGGACAGAAGTGATAGTTGAGGGGCATGAATCACCTGGTGCCAAGTTGCTAAATAAATGAACACATCTACAAAAAAGCTAACTATGGAGTTTTGACTCTCAGCCAGGTTTTGGAACCCAGCATTG